GTTGCTACCCAGCATGGCTTTAGGCTACCTGGGTCACGGCCCACCCACTGCAGGGGGTTCTAGGTCAGAGGAGCCAGCAGGGAGCCCTGCTCTCAGACACCAGAGAGACTCTTCAGTTAGCACACAACCTCAGGGCACGACAAACTCCACGTCTACCACAACCTCTGTTCATGCCAAATGCTTAAACAATGCAGCTTGAAGTAATAAACATGGAAAAGAGCTCCATATTTGTGAGTTCATCGCTCAAAGTGGACACAATTACACATTGTTAGTTTCAAAAGAGCTATTTATACAGTACGAAGGACTAATTGTGCAGAACATTGTGAAAGAGTTTATTTTTTACGCATTCAGAGGCAAATTATACAACAATTGACTCTCCAAATTAATAGAGCGTTTGTATGGCTCCCCAATGAAAGACATTATTCAGCAGAAAGAAAATGTCAAATAGTGTCTCAGCAGCACAATTGCTAGTCTCCAAAGCTATTGTTACCACGTTTTTGTTTTGACTATCTGGGAATAGAGGAGTATATCACATCTATTTACTCTCTGTTACAGAACTGGGCGGTGATCTCCACTACAGAGGCTTATAAAAACAGTTTTTGCCCACAGAACAGCTATTAAGGACTTGGGATCTGTGATAAGGACAATATTCAGCAAGACTTCCTGGCTGACATATGATAATGAACAATGGCTAAATAGGCCTCTGTTGCACAGAATCGGCGCTGAAGCATAAGTTCTTAGGAGGCTGCCTTGACCTTGAACTTTCTAAAAGGCGTAAATATAAACCGCAAACCATTATTTAAAGTGTAAGATGCTGAAACAGAGCAATATCTGGTGTGATCACTGCTGCAGTAGTTTTGGTCTCCACACCCTGTCAGATACTTAGCTTTCTGGTGATGCATGGGCAGTGGCCCTGCTCCGAAGACTGGCGTGTCCGTCACTGCCGCCTGGAAGCGTGTCCAGCTGTCCTGTCACTCTGTCAGCAATGCTGCCTCTCATGGCCCGAGATTAAACGCTCCCGATGGGGCCTCCAGGGGAAGTGGCTCACCCGCCTCTTAGGACTTATGTCAAAAATGTTTCAGCCCAGGTAATTTGCTACAGTCCATGCTCCTTTCTCTGTTAACTTCAAAAGCTCCTGCGACGGGAAAAAAGACCAACGAAAGAGGGGAAAATGGTGTTTAGTTGTGAGTAGCGAAAGATTGAATTCTTGAGGACTGGGATGGACTCATGAAGAGTGTCATTCTCAAGGTATACCAAACTAAATCTCAATGATGTCCTTGCAACCAGTTCTACTTTCTTGTTCTCTCAATAATTTATTCAAACATATATTAAAATATTATTTATGCATACAATGGGGGGGGGGTACTATTACACAACTGTAATAGTATCATAATGAAGATAAAATGCTTTGATAAAAAAGAAAACATTACTCTGGTTTGTATAATCGTCAATTATTATTTCCCAAAAGTCATGTGGTCCAACCAACATGTAGAAAAAAACCCAAAGTTATATCATAGTGAGGGTGCAGACCCTCATGACTGTGTGTCAAGGTCAATAAGTCTATTAAAAAATCAGATAATGAACCCTTTTTTGATAACATTTCATGCAGCAATGTTCCTTTAACTTATAAAATGCCATGTATTATAACACCACACAAACATAATGATATTTATCACTTAAGGAATTCATTAATATAGTTAATTGTTTATTTAATTAATAAATTAATAATTTGTTCTATTTGCAAAAAAAAAAAATCCTTTTACCTTGAAAAATACATTTAAACTGTAAAAAATAATAATGGTGGACTTCTTTTTTCTTTTCTTTTCAGAAATATTGATTAAAATGTTTACAGAACATGTGAGGAATTTAAAACATTTATCATGGACACTCTTATAAGTCACTGACCCAAAAATCCCTGGACAAATTACAACATTTTAATGTCTTGCTTAAGATCTTACTAACTTAATAAGAGCCCAGCAAACAAAAATATGTTAGAAGAAAATTAAGTTATAAAAACATTATTTCTGAATGTTCTCTTAACGTTAAAAAATGTCTAGTTTTCACATTCCATTTTACCATTTATCAAACATTTATGGGAATGTTACTTTTGAATGTTCTCTAAACATTCTGAAACAAGTAGTAACATTTTAAAAATGCTGGACGAACATCTAACAAAAACGTTTCAGAAAAACCATGAACAATGTATTTTTGTGCTAAAGTTTTGAATGATGAATGTTCCCTGTAGACTGGGAGAGTCTTCAATGTTCAACTCCACAATTTCTTTATATAATGTTTTTGCAACCATTAGTATATCAACATTACTGTGTTTGAACCTCTTCTACTAAAACTATCCATCTGTAAAGGTTTTAAATAGACCGAGGGCAATGAAGACACATATCCATACATCCTCCCATTACAATTGTGTGTGTGTGTGTGTGTGTGTGTGTGTGTGTGTATGTGTGTGTGTGTGTGTGTGTGTTTATTGAGTCACTTCTCCAACAACATGTTTTAAATTCCCTGTGGCTCTGACATAATCTAACAAAAGTTTTTTCTGAATCTATGGAATGAGGAAATTAAATAGACCCCCATTAAACAGATCTGTCAACATTACAAGGAAGCTGGAATCATTAATGGAGACTCATTGACCTTACAGCTAAACATTAAGATTGAACACATGCATACGTAAGGTTTGAGAATGAAATAATCTCTTTTTCCAAGTTAGAACAGTTGATTCTGACTAAAATAACATTCATGGGACATCACTCAATGGATATCCATAACACAAAGACTTATACAGAGAAATGTTGCACAAAGTGGGATCCATTTTCAATGAAACCACAACATTTGTGCCTGTGCTTTGAAGGATGTGGCATCTACAAGTGTGTGCACGTGTGATGAAAGTGTTTGACAGCAGCCCTGCCTCAACAAATTGCTTTTGAGATGTGCCAACACAAATGTATTTAACTCAGAGTCCAATAAACCGTGGCAGGAGCAGTGACATCTCTATGCTGGATCCTTGTCAGTGTTTTCTTTAAGTCTCTCCCTCCCCGTTTTGTAGCAGATCAGGAATGCATGAGTTGCATTCACTATTAACAAGACTAAGACTACACAGGTAACAGGATCAGCTCTAATCAGTGTGACCTGAGAAAGCTTGTGTGGGGATTTCAAGCTTTTGTCCTGCATTTTCCAAGGTGATTTCTTCCCCACCACATTCGATTATGATTACTGAGGCAGCATTCCTCCATCCATGCAGAGCGTACTCTTTAATTTGCACTTCACTCTTTTATTGCCGGTCTAGCAAAACCTGCAAAAAGACACCAAATGTGCATCATGTGCTCTTTTACCTCACAATGAACAATGGCCATCTCATAAGTAATGGCACTGGTACAGAGAGAATCTTCTGAATGCGAAGACGGCAGAAGGAGGAGAGAAGAAAAAAATAACCATTATCCAAAGACATGTTCTATCTTGTCAGAAACTCTGTTTTCTCCAGCCAAATCCCCTACTGCCTTGCTCAGAAAATATTCAGGCTTTGTAATAGAGATGTGAATGGCAGATAGGGAAGAAGTTACGGATTTATCCAAGACTGAAGGAGTGAGAGAAAAATTCTGACATTTATGAGAGAGAAAAGTCATGCATCCTCGGCTTACCACCCAGGAACACAGGTAACAACACCAGGCTCTCTGTACCTACAAGCCAGAGCTGGACTGAACCTGTTAATACTATATTATGTTGCCCTCTACTGACCAGTAGGCTGAATCAGCGCAAATCTTTGGAGAAAATTGCTACCTCAGCTTTCCAATGTAAAACCAACTCATATTTTTGTCAGTACTGGGTTGAACTAGCTTTTATCTCACATGTTTTAACATGTAAACTATTATAAAAAAAAGCTAAGGAAATCCAAAAAATACTGCATTTTTAATAAGTCAGCCAAAATGCTAAAATGGTTTCTGTGATTTAATGGTTACAATTCATGTTGATTAAAAAAAAATTAATGTCATTAAGACTACAGTGACTTTTTGAATTCCGTTGAAATCCACAAACAACATATTGTGATAACTCATGTTTACAACATGTAAACTACTATAAAAAAGCTAAGGAAATCTAACCCAATGAATATGTTTGGCAAGACATATTGCCAAGCAATGTCTTGCCAAACATATTCATTGGGTTAGATTTCCTTAGCTTTTTTATAGTAGTTTACATGTTGTAAACATGAGTTATCACAATATGTTGTTTGTGGATTTCAACGGAATTCAAAAAGTCACTGTAGTCTTAATGACATTAATTTTTTTTTAATCAACATGAATTGTAACCATTAAATCACAGAAACCATTTTAGCATTTTGGCTGACTTATTAAAAATGCAGTATTTTTTGTCATATACTGAAAATAGTTATATATGCTTGCAAAAAATATATTTTAAAAGGTATACTGCAATCATAGATACCACAAGATGGCAGTAGAGTACTTAAAATTGCAGTAAGTGTTTGTGGGGGGGGGGGAGCACAATTTTTTCAATTATAATGACACTTTTATTTTTATTTTATAATAGCGAACTGCCTATTATAATAACCCTTATAAAGCTTTGTGTATTCGGACTGATGGAAATTTTAAAAGTTCATCGGGTCAAAGGGTTCAAGTTAGGGTGACCATATTTAAGTTTTCCAAAAAGAGGACAGTGGTTGGGGCAGGAGGCGGGGTTTCGCCTAACAGTATACGTAGCAAGGTTTTTTTGTTTGTTTGCTTGCATTGTTTTTAGAATAAATAAATAAATAACAAGTAGACAGAATAGAAAAAGAATAGGGAATTCTAGTGTTAGAGGCTCATTTTAAAAAAAAAATAAAACAAGCCAATACAACAGAAAAAGAATAGATAATGCATGTGTTAGAAGGGCATTATTTATAATAAATAAAAAGAAAATAAGTAGAAAGAATAGAGAATGCTAGTGTTAAAGGTTATTTTCTTTTTACAAATAAAATCAGTAAAAACCAACCCTGAGTTTTTCTTGTGGTCTTTTTGATGTATTGAACCGCAAGGTCTAAAATCTCTGCTTTTTCCAGTTTAGGATTTTGTAAACACTGTGGTAGGAGAGAGGCATTTTAGGGGTTTGTCAGGGAAACAGTGCAGAAATAATGTAAAGCAATGCATCATAAATCGAGGGCATATAGCCTGCTCACCGTGTCTGCAGTGTTCTTGAAAAGCAGATATCTTAATGCATCTAGGTTATGGTTGATTCGATCCCTTCTCTTCTTCTCTATCACAGGCTTTAACTTCTTTAAACAAAATTAAAACATGAAAATTGTTTGCCATTAAACAACTTTCAAAATTTAACCACTGCGTGGAATCAAATGAACATGTGCAGGTCAAATAAATTAAATACAAAGAGTTGGTTTTAAAGAACTTACTCTTTTGATGCCTTCTGTCTTCGTCATGTTGAGAGATGAACAGTTTGCTCTTCAGGCTAATTCGTAGATGTGGGAAACTGCTGAAATCGAGCCAAACGGGAATTTGAAGCCTCTGGTGTGGCATTTGATTGGCTGAAATGTGGCAGTGAGGTAGGCACAGTGAACTTTCCACCCATCATTCTACGGCCTTAACTAAACAATCAGTAAACAAAAAGCTTGATTTTTAAGCATATTTAGAAACATTTGATGGCGCAATTGGTTCTGGACAAAACAAAAGTTTGCCATTTGAATGTGCGCTGCAATAGGCCTATGCAAATATCAGCAAATGGTTTTGAATAAGCAGCTGAGGACAATGCTTGAGGTGAACTCCTAAAACACATTTAGGCAAATGGCATCTGTCCTGACATTTTGGTGATTAAAGTAGCATAACAATAATTTTGTCAGTAGGCTAAAATTGAATTTTGATGCCAAAGTGATAACCTGCATTGGTAAAAACATTTTAAATTAAATTACTGATAAAGAACACTGAGCTGAAGCACTGAATTACATGAATTGCATATTTATTGTGATAAATTATATGGATGGAAACAAATATGTTATATCATAATGATTAAAAAAATAATGTAGGCATATAAATGTGTAATGTGGAGGCCATGGAGACATTTCTATAAGAAAATTCTCACTTTAAGAATAGAGAAAATACGACGCATTTTTGGAGTCGTGCGCCAAGCGAGATCAGCTCGTGGCGCATCCTGCTTTATGGAGAAATGGGGGATGTGAAGAGGTGTGATGCTCAGGCTTTTAGAGCAAATCTGTTAAGTGTGCTGTATGGGAGTGTTTTGATAGAAGTGTGAGCGATTAGGCCAACCAGTTTTTTTTCCCACGCTTGTAAACTTTTGGAATGGTCAAGTGTATCATCAGGAATTAAGCAAAGCAAAACAATTCGAGTGACATTTGAAACCTTCTGAAACTGATGTAACGGCCTATTGGAAGAGAGTACCATGTGTTTTTTAATACGTTTTTTTTTTTTTCTTACAGTTTTTTTTCGTTGGCAATTGGCACGTCCATTTTCTTCGAGAAGAAAGTCACTTCCAAATGAAATTAGCTGTAGGCTATTCGTATAGTTCTCATTCATTAGGCAGTAGAATTATTTGCGAACACAAGAGAAGACCCCACACACATCAAAAGACCAAAAAAAAACTTTCAATTGAGGCTACACTCCAGTGCCTCAAACAAGTCAAAAACACGTCTTCCTTTGTTATACAGGCGCTTCAGTGTATCGACTGTGATCCGACCTGACAGCCCACCTTAATGAAAAAGCAGCCTATAGTGTAAACCAGTTGAAATAAGTAAAAATACCTTAATTTTTATTGTGAGATTGAATTTACAAGATGAATGGTCCTGGCAAGGCAATAGGCTATAGGTACCATCTATGAAAGCACCTAGAAGAAAACATTCAGTTATAGACACATGAGGAATCCTTCATTATATATTCGCACATTGTGCGAATAACAATACTGTGCAATGTTATAACTGTCCAAATGGCTAAACTATGTACTTTTTATTGTCTATCGATAATCATAGGGATTTGAAATTACAGCAAGTAGGCCTAATATAGGCCTAATCACCTTTCAGTGGTTCTTTTAAATATAACGCGTTTGAATAGTTCAAACCTTCTTTGATAATCTTTGACAATGCCTTAACTGAATAGCCATCGTTTAAACATCCCAGTGGGGGACTAAATGGGTCATTATTGGCTCTTACTTCACAATTGACATTATTTACAGCCTTTGTCGCTTTCATCCAGCATGTATGTGAATATTAATGAGGGGCTAGCTCAGAGACGCATGTGATTGGTCCGTCCTCTTTTATCATTCATAATGAGAAGAGTAGGCGTGTACTGACTGTACCATAAATTACCTGAACTCCAAAACGATGCTTTTAATCTCACTTTTAATTTCGTGAATCGCCAAAATGAGCAAACAAGCTGCTGACATACCGGAACAAAAAGACTCGAAACGGGTAAAAACCTAACTTTATGTGTTTTACAATGTATTTTCAGACCTCTGAAATATAATTATAATTCACATACGCCCTATTAGGCTATTCTGACAAAATTTGATATGAAGACTTGTTACGTATCATGTTAAGGCTTTTTAAAATTATATTTGACCATAATATTTAAACTAGCCCACGCTGTTTATAACGTTACAGGTGTCAAAACCTCTCATGGAAAAAAGAAGGAGAGATCGCATTAATCAAAGCCTAGAAACTCTGAGAATGCTGTTACTTGAGAACACCCACAATGAGGTAAGTTATTTGATTCGATTTTTTTAAAGACTAATATAGACTGTATATAAAATGTCTTTATCTGACCACATTTCTTCTTCTTTTAATAGAAACTCAAGAACCCTAAAGTGGAAAAGGCTGAAATCCTGGAAAGTGTTGTGCACTTCCTAAGAGCTGAACAAGGACTGGGGACTGACCCTTTTCAAATCACTAGAGGAAAAAGAGCAGGCACAGAGGAGTATGATGAGGACCTGAGGTCACCTTGCAAACGTCAGAACTACCGTGATGGAATGAGGACATGTCTCATACGAGTCAGCAATTTTATTGCTAGCAAGAGCCATGAGTTCGGACAGGGAGTGGAAAAAGCATGTGAAAACCTTACCAAATCACAGCCAATGCAAGTCCAGCTACTGTCCACACCATCCCACAGAGAAACTCAGGTGCATCTCTATGAGGACTCAGCACAACAGCATCTCACTCATGTCCAACTGAGCAATTCCTGCACACCATCTGGCTGTGCGAAGCTTGCACAAAGAACTGTTCTGTCTGCTCCCACCATGACTTCAAGTCCTAAGCAACCTGTAATGCTCTGTGATGCTGTCTGGAGACCTTGGTAGAAGATCATGTCCGGAGTCCCTGCAAAGCTCTCCAAAGACTGAAAAGGCCAGCTTGGTCTACAGTGATTCATGATTCAGCTGTGTGGGAGCACCACTGGGACAATAGACTGTGAATTGTGTAAATATGTTGATTTTGTACAGTAGATGCCAAAGATTTATTTTGTTATAAAAAGGCATTGAGAAACCTGTAGTGTTTGGTGATCTTACAGCCAAACAAACAAGATACACATTTGTGCTGAGATGTATGTATTTCTTAGTTAGAACTTTGATACTTTTATATCAACAGAACTTTCTTTCGAGACTTTCACAAAATCCATTTTTGATGGAGAAACCATATACTAAATGGGGTGAATATTTCGAGTTTTTTTTTTTTTTTTTTTTACATGAGTGCCAAGAAACTGTTTAGAGCAAAAGTTCATGTCATTTTTATTTTTTTCTGTGTGGTAATTGCCATATATTTGTGTTCTTCTAAAACATTGAAAAATGTTAATTTCATTCAAGAGATTCTGTTTTTTTGTTGAAACAGACAACAAGGCCTTTTATTTGCTGTTATTTTTCTTGTCAGCAGAATGTGAAAGGTTGTTCATAAAGTATTTTCTTATACTTTGAACAAAGAATTAAACCTCTCTGAGGATATATTATTTTATCTTTGGCTCTTTCTAATATTTACATGTCCATTAATTCATTTCCTGAGAGATATTCAGCATCGAACGGCATTGTTCTTCAGACACGGTGTGAATGTTTAGCGTTCCAACGTGATAACGGTTGATAACTCTATAAAAGGCCTGGCATTTGCAGATTTTCATTGGGCAATCATTTGGTCATCTCAGTGATGTTGCACTTAATGTATGGAAGATATAAAGTATTGAGGTGCAGATAGCTTAACCGCTGAAGGTGGTCATTACGGGCCTTTGTCAGAACAATCGTTGAATGGTTTGATTTATCAGAACATGATGTTGGAATTTGATAGTACTTTGCCTATTTCTAAATGTTCTGTAGCAATGTAAATACTCGATCCAATACGGTAGCCTGTATGATGACAAAAAGTTCAAGTCACAGACCGCTAATATTAGCAACAATTGGCAAAGATATTTAAGGAAATACAGTTTTGAGTTTGGAAAAGTCATTTCAAGTACTTTTTTTAAAAAACTTAAAACAGATCAAATTAATTATTTTAATTATTATTTTATTAGCAGCCATCAATTCTCTCTCTCGCATCTGATTTTATAGCATATTGTTTGATTTGGTTACAAAGGGCAACGTTCTTGTCTGTATGGATGTAACAGCTATCTCAAGCCCACCATAAGTGAGAATCCAGCATGAAATACACCCATGTATTTCACTTAGGCTATTGTACCGTAATGCATTTAAAGGCGCCTCTTTGGCATAACTATGTTCTGGACAAATGAATAAAACCAAAAGTTTGGTCTCAATTATCCTATCAACATATCATCAGGTTATCCAAATTAATCTAACTGCACAAATGTTTTAGAAAATTCGACTGCGCGCGACAAACGATTTGTGATTTAAATAATGAGGTCGTTTTTCATTTTTCTTTTATATTAGGCTACTTTGACATAATGTAAAGTCTAGCCTACTACTACTTCAACGACTGCGCTATCTATCTACATGTGACAGACAAACGGAAACCCTACAAAAAGTATTTACAGAACAAAAGGAAACAACCCAATTGCTGGGTTTGTCCCTATTTTACCCAGCACTGGGTTGTATTTAACCAAGCATTTTTTAGAGTGCAGAGTGTCTGTAAATCTGGTCAATCTTCTTTTCAAACAAACAAGTTGTGTGTGGTTGATTTTTTTGCACCATATAATGAGACAGGTCTCGCTCTCCAACGCTATCCCACAGCCAATTCAAGCGTACACTCTAAAAAATGCTGGGTTAAAAAGGGACAAACTCAGCTATTGGGTTGTTTTGACCCAGCGGTTGGGTTGTACAAACTCAGCTATTGGGTTGTTTTGACCCAGCGGTTGGGTTGTTTTGACCCAGCGGTTGGGTTGTTTTGACCCAGCGGTTGGGTTGTTTTGACCCAGCGGTTGGGTTGTTTTGACCCAGCGGTTGGGTTGTTTTGACCCAGCGGTTGGGTTGTTTTGACTCAGTGGTTGGGTTCAAAACAACCCAACCGCTGGGTCAAAACAACCCAATAGCTGGGGTTGTCCCTTGGGAGTGTAGGTGCCGACATTCTCTCTCACCTAACTCAT